GTTGGCAGCTCTTGCTGCTGCAGCTCAGCAGCCCGCAGCACCAAGCTGAAGCAGTTCCCTGGGTGTAATATATTCCATCTCTCCCTTATCCTTCCCTCTCCATCACCAGTGTCCTTTGAATGAAAGGTTTGTTTCTTCTGACTTGCTTTGATCAGCACTTCAGTGTTTGACTGTGCTTTTAGCTCGTTACCAGCAATGTCAGATATTGTAATTCCTGTTTTCTTCTCCTAATAAGATGTCATACTTTAGTCTCCTGACCGTGCCCTCCTGTTCAGCCTTCCCCAGATAAGCTTTTCTGTTTACTCCTCCCTATTTACTTGTAGTCCAGACTAACTCCATTCCTTCTCTGTTTCCATCAAATTATCCTTTCTACCGCTTTCAAGACTTGTATAACACTCAATAATCATACACTGATATCTCAAGTTGTTATTAAAGTTCTCTCTGACCCTTCCAATTGTTCCTCTCTAACATTTCCTTCCTTATTTTACCTTCTGTAATAGCACCCAGCCTGTAAACCTAGCTGCTTATTTTTGTCTCTGCATCTCTTCTTGCTGTTTTCTGAGGGCTGCGGACCTGTTGGGATGGTTTTGGGGAGTGTGGTTTTGAACACCCAACTCGTTTCTCAGCAGCATTGAGATGCTTTTACATCTACCTTAAAATGCATCCAAACTGAGTGAGGCTTGGCAAGTCTACAGCAATTTGAAAGCAATCACATTCAAATCTGAAAGGAGGAAGTTTTGCTAAAATTGCACCAGAGTTACCTATTTCTGAGGACCACAGCAGTACAATAACCTCTTTGAATGATTCCAGTCCAGAATCCATGAAAACTTTCTTTCAGCGAATGAGAACCTGATGACATTCTCATTTCTGGGTTTAAAATTTTGAACCACTGTATTATTCACTAGACTGAAAGAATCCTTCTTGAGGGAATGAAAATGCTCCTTTAGAAAGCAGAATGAAGTATTGCTGTTCTAGGAAGAGGTAAGGTGAACATTTCCCAATTCTCCAAATAAAGGATTGCAGCCAAGTAGAAGATGCAAATAACAAACTGTTCAATGGTGAGTATACAGTACTTTTATTTTTCTTCCTGAGCACTCCTGAACCTCATGCTATTTGTGAACTACTTTTAGTAGAGCAGGCACAGGGGAATTTGTTTCTCAGTGGCTTTTGTTACAGAATAGTTTTTTTTTGTTTTTTTAGTTTATTCTTCAGAAATGAAATCTTCATTTTTCATTTTCAAAAAGAAAAGGAATTTGCTGCCTGTAGGGTGACAGGATTCTACTGTATTCTTTCTTCTCAAGCTCATCTCTGCATTATTAACTGAGGAGGATTAATGTGGTGTTTGTTTTTTTTTTTAATCCCTTGTGTAAGGTGGCAGCCTAAAGGACAATATGCTCAGATATTTGCCATTGAGTAGGGGCAGTTCAGAAGGCCTGATTTCCATTTCTTTTCCTAATATTCTGCCATATGTCTCTTATGAACCCGTGATTCAGCTGAGTGAAAGGGGTGTTCTGACACTCGGTGCACACTGAGGAAGGCCATCTTCTGTAGTTTGGGTTGCTTGTAAGAGGCATTGACAGTGGCAGTTTCTAAGAAAGGTACAGTCTGAGAGCTGGAGATTTGCAGCTATTATGGGAAAGACGGTGGCCACAGGACACAGAGGGCTCGTAGAGTGGCAGGTTCAATGCATTGAGACGTTTTTGACGGGTTAACACCATGCCAGTTCAGTTGTCATCTGGCTCTTCCGCAGCCAGGAAGAGTCTGTACAGAAGCTAGCAAAAAAGCTTTTGGGTGCTCTGACAAGCTCTGATTTGTGCCGGTACCAGCTATACTGCTGGCCTCTCCCATTTGGCTGATTAGAGCCTCAGTCTAGGCGTAGGCATGCAAACTGTTGGTTGTTGCTCCACAATATGAGATTCCTGGAGGTTCTGCCTCATCAGGTCCTACAAACCCGTTTCTTTCATTATGTCCAATCTCTGTCACCATGAAAGTAATTGGTCTTTACTTTAATGGTCATTTTGACAGTGCCAAGTTGAAGTTCATTTGGAATCCACTTGACTTGTTTCTTTAGTTGAAATTACAGTAAATGATGAAGACTTTCACTGATATCAGTTGTACACCCCATACATACAATACTGTGGTTGGTATAAAATGTGGAGAAGCTGCAATTGGTAAAATCTGTGACAAATCCCAGTAAAAAGTTCTCTCTCAGTTATTGGGACATAGGTTAATCCTCTATGAGCATCTTTTAGAACAGCTTCTTTTTTCCATAGGCAGCCTAGGATTTGAGCGGGTTTCCTCTTTGCAAGAATGAGGGAGATATTTATATTTTTCCCCTAAGATTTTTTCAGGGCAGTCTACAGATTAAAGGGATGAAATAGCCACGAAGATGTTTGTGATGGAGAGGGCTGGTAAAAATACTACTAGCACCTTGTTTAGGGCTCAGAGAAAACTGTTTTGGATTTTAGGCAAGACTTGCCTCATGACAGTGCTTTAAAACAACTGATTTTGGATGGCCAAGGTCATTCAGGTTTTAGGGACCACCTTCAAACAAATATGCTGTGGAAAACATACCTTTCTTGTTACTTTATGTATATTATATTTGTGTAATATATAATAACACAATGTAATGATGTATACAACACATAAATATTATTTATATTACAGATACTTCCTATCTGTCAGTGAGTTTGGTGAAGTCCAGTTTTTGTCACCTGTGGAAAACAGCTGGGCTCCTTTATACTTACATAACAAAGGGAATCTCCAGGCCCGTGTTTAAAAGGCAGTATGTAGGTGTTTCGGAGACTAGCATGACACTGAATATTTCGGTTTGTTTGGAGGGTCCCACAAATCAAAGTCCAAGAGGGAGAATTAAAAAACCCTCTTGACAATATGTTAACCTCTGCAAGGCCAGTGTGTGCGAAGGTCAACTCTATCCTAGGCTTTTTATTTTACACCTCTATCCAATGCTTTTTGTGGATGAAAGTGATTCCACTCATAGACACTGATATATGCTGTTGTGTATATACCAAATGGTTGTATATAAGTAGTGTTGCTATGTAGATGCTTCAGAATGTCCCATTCACTTGCTCCATATATTTCAGTCTGTGCGCCGGCTGCATAAGCTGAGTCTTCCTCAAGTTTTATCGAGTTGCCTGTTTCCTTCATTCCTGTCAAATCTTCCTTAGTCTGTGAAGTAGCAAGAAGCGTGTACAGAAGCAAACAAAGGCCAAGTACTGCTAAGCACTGCATGACCCAGTCTGTCAGCTCTTGGAATCTAAGATTTTAATATTGGGGCCTGTCTTTAATTTTACACATAATAAATGACCAAATTCATTGCTAACATTCAGATGCTGATTCAGAAAAGCCTTAAGCATGTGTGCTGGTCTGCTGCTGTCTATCACACTGTTTATATTAAAGTGACAAGTTTATTTCTGTTTTGAAGAGAGAAATAATAAAATGAGAGCAATATAATGGGTAACAAGCATATCTGAGAACAGTTCTGTCAGCTGTATTTCTCACTTTGCAAATATTTAATTTATGTTTGAGTGGGGCATACTTTAAAATTAGAAAAACTGTGAACAAGCAATCTTGTTGCTTGTTCAACAGCTGCAGGGATAACTTTACAGACCTGCATATTTCCCTTAAAGAATTTTGAAAATGGATCAGTAAAGCAGTCATATCTCGCTGTATTTGATCTTGTTACTGCTTCTAAGAAGCAGTACTTAATTTGTGATTTAACTTGTGTCTTCTGTGGAGAAGCCAGATCCATCCAGTTACCTGGTTCCATGTTTCTGGAGTTTACAGCTTACAGTCTCAAACTACAAATCCTCTAACTCCCGTCATAAGAAAGTTCTTGAGCAGTTTAAACGTTTGTGAATTTCCATATCAGAAAAGCTGGGCCTTTCCGCTACCTCAAACTAGCTGCTGGTCACTGTACGTTCTTTATCTGCTTGTCCTGGAACAGGAACTGCCCCTGTTACAAGCAGATATAAAAATGGCTTGAAAGCGTGTAGGGCTTTCAGTGACGTGCTGGAGAAAAGGAAACATCACAGCAAGATATCGGTAATCACCCAAAATGTTTCTAAGACAACCGTTCAGAATTCAGAATCTTTTAAAAAAACCATAATCTTTTAAAGAAAGTTAACTGTTATTTAATTGTGGGAAATGTATTTTGAGAATCTTAAATGCAGTTCAACCATGTCTGCCTAGATGAATTCGTAGTAATCCACTATGTGAATTAGGCATTGTACGCTTAAAACAAAAGTGAAAGAATCATTTTTCATGCTCATTCTTCATATGTTTTTAACTTAATTTCCAAAGCAGTTGTTTCCAAACATGAGATCCAATTTGCTCTGACTCGCGCTTTGCATAGCTCTGGTTATTGTAGTCGAACTCTACAAGAGTATTAGGAAAGTATTTCAGACTACGCAAAGTATACATTCCTTGGGATGACTGCATATGCTGAGATTATCATTTTAGAGTGGAGATTTGTTTTAGTCATCTGCACAACTTTCAAGCAGACTAGTTTCTTAGTTAAAGAGCAAAATAATTGCAAGCTGCAAGCCTTGAAGGAGATACTGTGAGCAAATGTAAATAAGATAATTTAAACGTTGTTAAATAAGAAAATGTTAAACCTTGCTAAACCTTGTTAACGGTAATATCATTGATTATGTTACAGTATTGCTTCAATTTGCCAGCCTTTGAAGACTGAATTCCCTAGAATGGCTTTTGTGGTCTAAGCACAGAGTCGAGATCTGTGTAGTTAAATTTTATTAAAACCAGGTTTTGGTGCAGACAGTGAGAAATATTTGTTTTCTTATTGATGTAAATGAAAGGTTAACGATTCAGATTTTCCTACATGTATGTAGAATGGAAGTATTGTCAGTTTGCAAGTTGCTCTAGGGTTTAGCATACAAAGACAGTGCAGTGACTTATAAAAATGATACTAATTAAAATTTAATATATTATTTTCATTCACCTTTTTTTAATCAGCTAAGCAAAGATTCCTTGTGTATTAAGAGCTGAAGTAGATTACGAAGTCTAAGCGTATATGTTTTTGAAAGGTTTCTTAATCAACAGGGCTCACAGATACTCCATCTGAAGAAAGTGCCCAAACAACAACCGCTCTCTGTGGTTTTGTTGTTTAGAGCAGTGTTTCTGGAATGGCTTCAATAATAGCTGGGTGATACTCTTTTAATTGCAATGACCATCAGGATCGTATTACTCTTGGCTGTTTCTCGCTCTCGCTCTCTCTCTCTCCTTTTTTTTTTTAAACCTCTCATCCAAATCTGTGGTCCAGGAATTGTTATTTTGTACACTGATTATAAAAATGGCTTTTATTCTTCTCTCATTCTGAGTGATTTTATAGTTTCCCACTAAAAAAAGATTAATTAGAATGGCTTGTGGGAAAAATCAGTCTTCCCCTGCCCCGCTTCTTCTAATCAAATGTTAATAGGAAACTTTAGAGTTTGAGCTCTGCATAATATTTCTCCTTGACAGTCCTGCTAATCATTGTTGACAGATATTTCTTTTAAAATTTTTTTTTTGTGTAGACAGAACTTGGCAAAGAGGTCAACTCTGGAGAGAAGTGGAACAATAGGAAGTCAGTTGTTTATTATTAAAAACGGCAGGGTTTTTTTTTTTCTGTCTGCGTTGTGACTGCAAGTCTAAGCAGTGTACATGTAAGCCTGATGGAGAAAGATCTCCACCCGTTCAACTGCTGGGTCCGTGCGTGGGGCTTCAGGGTTGGTTTAAGCCAATTCAGGCATGTGGGGCTGGTGGAAGGAGTGGCTCAGACCCTGGTTTCACACCGCTTGGCTGATGCGAGCTCGGTGGCAGGAGTGCCCCACTGAGGAGGGGAGACCCTGCACAATTGCACGAGGAAACTCAAGGGCAGGAGCAGGACGGTGGAGGCTTAGCCTGCCCTGATCTGCCGCTGCCCTGGCCCTGGAGCTGAGGGAGAAGCATGGGAAGGCTGTGGGCGAGAAGGCACTGGGCGCTATGAACTTGATTGCAGGGTGTAAGGAAAGGATCAGGGACATGAGGAGCCTTATCCGTTGTGTCTTCTGCAGTGATGAAGGTCTCGGGTAGCCTCTCACAGTTCTTCTGTCCCATAGGCTTGTGCTCCTCTCTCTAGTAACTGCCTATCCCTAAATAAGCATAAGTACACTGAGAAGCATCAACCTAAAGTCGCTTCAATACTTGCCTAGCCTAGCGCTCAAAATTAAGGAAATGCATCATTAAGTGGCTTAACAGTACCTGTTTACTGCCCCTTCATTCATTGACAAACACCTTACTGTGACCACAATTGCAGTATACAATACATTGTGCACCGCAGCCTTAACTTAGGCACAAAAACTGAACATATTTCCTTTAATAGCTGTTCAGTACACAACTTCTTACCAAATTACTCCTCTGCAGTACAGCCAACTGTTTTGTCAGATATCCATAACTCTTGGTTTGAGGGTAGGACAAGTGAACTGGCAAGTGAGTGCATGTAGAATTATGACATGGTTTGAGGTTGTGCTGTGTTGTTATTTGGTTAAAAAAAAAAAAAGTCACATACCTAGAAGTAGAAGAGAATGTCTGGTGGAAAGCAGTCTAATTCCCTCTTTTTTGCAGTTACGGGATTATATTAGGCATGTTGAGTGTTTACCAGCCCTCATTGCATTGCAATGGAGTTTTCTGTATGTTGCTTACAAGGACAGTTCCTCAGCTGATAAACCAGGGCTGAGTATCTGGCCCAAAGTTACAGAAATACACCAGCTTTAATCAAATTTGTCTCTAGTTAAAACTTGAGAGTCAATTGGACTTTGTGCTAACATAGTTGGGGTATCAAACTGGATCCAACTGTAGATTCTAATTCTGGAGTTGTATGTTAATATACAAAGTTACTGTCTTGCATAAGTGTTTATTAATGAAATGCGTTAGAATCCCTGTCCTTGGGTAACAAAGGAAGCCTTTGTTATCGCAAACATTCCTGTATAGGAGTGTGAGGCTAAAAAGAACAGCAGGTGATTTTTCTGGATAGTCAGAAGCTGGCAGTTTGGATCAAAATGCAGATCTAACATACAAACACCGTGAAGCTCATGAATGGTTGGATCAGCCTTCAGTTTTGGAAGGGTGTCTTTCTGTGCTTTTTTTGGTTTAGCCCCATTAACAGTTTTGTTGGCATAGGGAATTTGATTTAGAAGTGTGAACAAAGCATCCCTTCATTCATAACTGACATGCCTATTTTGGCAGGAGTTGTAGTTTGTTGGTCCAGGTGAAGCACCAGAAAAAGTTGTTTTGGGCATGTGCAAAGCGAGCAGGTCCTAAAGGCAAAGCGGGTAGTTAGTTGCCCAAGGCAACAGAGTGAGAGCGGCAGCAATTCCAGAGAGCTTTCTCTGCGTGGTGCCGTTACTGTCTTGAATGCCTAGAGAGTGGCAAAATACCTCAGGCCGGTCCTCATCAACAGGAGAGGTAGAGCCATGGGTAGAACGTTTTATATACTTCTTTCTGTAGCGGGAGGTCAGTGAATTGTTGAACTATAGAAGGAAGCATGCTATGTGCTGTCCCCAAGTCGGAAAGAGCTATTGGTTTAAAGAGAAACACTGACTAAATACACTATAACAAGGCCACAGAGCTCGACCCCGCAAAAGGAGAAGAGTGAAAAATATGATAATCATCCTTTTACTTATCGTTTGCTTGAAGACCGTTTTATTTCTTCTATCATCCTGTCCTGGAATACAGGAAAGCCCTTGATAAAATGTAAAATGCATTTAAATTTGATAGAGAACCGCTTTTGTTACTGTATATCATTGGTAAGAATCACAACCTTTAATTATTACCTCATAAAAATAATGTATTAAAATTCAAGAATATCTCACATGAATAATCATAGTAAAACAAATAAGAATTAGCGTATGTAATTTGGCTTGTTACAAGGCAGTATGGAGAAGCCTTATGGCTACCGTGGAAGTACAGTATGGCTGAAGACTAAATTGCCACCATAAAAATGTTTTTTGTACTATAAACTAAAGTACTGGGATAGTTTGAAACTTTCTTTGAAGAAAGATGGTTTTGATTGTTACCAGGGACAGGATACCGGACGTAAAAAGGCATCTAGTCAATTGTTCTATGTTATTTCCTGTACCCTTTGCTCATTACATTGGTAGGAATACTTGTTTCTGAAGTCTCAGTTCTGTGAAGTTAATTACTACATCAGTTAACTGAATTAGGATTTTTTTCAGATTTATGTGTGCCCTGACTATCGTTTAGCCATATGTCCATTTATGTAAAGAAAATCTCATGCTATGAGAAGTGTAAAAATACATTAAGGTAGTTTTTTTTTTTTTTTAATGTATGGGCAAAATTAGAAGATCAAGTGTGAGTGTTAGATATCTGGTAAAGAGTTAGGTATTTTAAATACATGTTTACAGTTCAGAATCTATGATTAAATAACAGTCCCAGTCCTTAAAATTTAATCCACATGTCTAAACCCTTCACCTGTACTAAGTATCATCAGTGTCCTAGCCTATATTACAGACAAATCCATATAGCTCTAGTTGCAAGAATGCAGCTTTTTTACATGGTCGTGGATTCGTTTGTTCTGCACTTTAATAGCTGTGCTGTTGTATGCATGATAATGTAAGGATATAAGAAAGATGGTGTTTGTGTGACATCAGTTTCTGGAGATGAAAAAGCTACACAATCTTTTGGGCATGCAAACTTAAAGAAGGTCTCTTTATTTGAAGGCTCATCTGTTTTTTCCATTTTATTTGTCATCCTAATAAAGTGTACTACTTTTCCCCCGTAACTTCTCTGCTATATTTAAACATCTGTTTTTTCTTGCTTGTACAACATTATATGCAGTAATATATTCATGTTCATTATTAAGTATATGCATAAATGTAGTAAATGGAAGTGTGATTTAATAAACAACAGATTTGAAATTATGCATTTTACCAATGTGGGACACATTCCACTTACAGATGTTTCTAAAAACAGCTCTTTGGAAGTTTGGCACATTCTTTCCGTCCTTCAAAATAATCAGTATGTTGTTTAAACTGAGGGGAAGGGGAAGGTCTGAAACATTTGTTTTGGCATTTTCTTCAGTGATATGATTAAGTTTGGTTTGATTTTCTGAGTAACCAATAAAACAAACTAAAAGTAATTTCTCCTTCAGCATCTAATTAAATGCAAACAGTATGTGTATGTTTTTAGATGCCCTAAGTTCATGCCGTAAGTTTCCATCCTTCTCTCAAACTTGCTGATTTATGCACTGGTATAAATGTGGCATTTAATCTGCTTTTGCATTTAACTTTGTGAGCCATATTCCACTCAAGTTTAGATAAGAGCTCATGTCAACTTTAGCAAGAGCAGACTGGCCTGTAGAACATTACAACTTCTTTGTTTATTAATAAAGTTATAAAGTTTTAATATACTAAATATTAGAGAAAGAAAAAGCATTTTAATGAGGCTGTATTGAAATAATCCAGTATTAAAAATACTAACATTTCTTTACATATTTTACGAATCCATGCCAGATTTCCCTATGGATTCTAATAATGGCAACTGTAGAGGCACCGGCAGTGGTGAGTACGTTTTTATAAAACTGTATAATAAGCTATATTCTTGCAAATTCTTTCAATAATTAAGACCAGTACTAAGTGATGCATAAATATTCTGTCTTGTCTTAGGCTCTTGTAAATTGTGCTTTTGTAGACTGCGATTTCTGTCACATGAAAGTGAGATTTGGGGGCTGGTAAGCCTGTGTATTTCTTAGTGGAGGAATGAATTAACTTTTTAGCACTTCTTTTAGCAATTGTTTCTCCTACTCTGGGCAAAATTTCCATCAAATCGAGAGTGCTGTGTTGGTTTTATAGAAAGCTTTGTCTTATTGGACAGAAGACTGATCATTAAATGCATTTCCTTCCCTGCTATAAAACATGCTGTAGTTTCTTCCTCTGATCTTCCAGCTATAACTTGTCTTCCCGTTACTTTTTTGTGCAAAACTGAAAATTTAGTGAGAAAAAGAATAATTTTCTGGGTAAGAATCTACAAAAGCATATTTTGCCACATCAATACAATGCAAAACGTTTCTCTTAACATTTTATCATGCAGAAAAAAGAATAATGTTGGTCAAACCTGTGTTATCAACACAGGAACTCTCACGATTTGACTTTTTACACACTACGTAGATGCTCCTCTGTATGCTTTTAGAGCCCATTTCATCACTTTCTTGGTCAAAGCATTTGCAAGTGTACCAACATGGATTTTGATTTAATTGGGAAAATGTTTACTGAAATAAAAAAAGAATCCCAAGTCTTTAAACTGTAAAGCAAAGAAAGCAATGCAATATTTGAATTGGATATACTGAAAGAAAATTCTGTAACCTGGTAGATATTAATGCTCTAAATCATTAAGAAAGAAAAAATAAAGTTGCAGATGCTCACAGTAATGTTTTCAGTTCACTTCCGCTATACAAGTTACAGGTTTAATAATCTTTAGTCAAATGAGGCTAGGCTCAAGTAGGCTGTTAGGGATTCAGTAGGAAAGGAAAAAGATCTTCTGATATGCTAAGCGACATTAAGAACTAATACAAGTAATGCCTATTTTCCTTAATTTTATTTTACTTCACAGCAAACTGATGACTATACCAGCCCTCTCTCTATTGTGGAGGGCAAGAGCGAGGAAGATAGTGTTTTAAAATTTGTAGGTTACATTCTGAACCCTGTGTAGATAATGGCAAAACTCCCATTAACCTGAGAACATTAAGGATAAGACCTTGTGAGACTGTTCTTATTTCAGTGGGTCCCCTATTGGTGCTTTTATTTCTTTGTTTTGTTCCTGCTGGAACTGAATAGACTCCTCTGAGTTTTGCCACTATTTATAGGCAATGCAATAAAGCAAAGCCTAGCTGGGTAGATGATGATATTACAGAAATGTGAATTTGTAGTTAAAGCAAGCTAATAACTATAGGATTTCTTGAATTTATTAGCTTTCCTTCGGAAGTCTTCCTCCTAGGCTTTTGGCAAAAAGATGAGACTTGGGAGCCTAGCGTTAGACATACTGTCCTTTCTTTTCTGGAGTTTTTGATGAGCTACAGTGCACAATGATGGTCAAAATTATTAGTATAAGTACCTAAATGGGATTGTGGAACTTATAGCTAGGTACCAAATTTTCATACCTTTAGCCCTAATCTCTGTGGTGGAATTGTAAAATGATATTAATAATGCTCAGCTTATAACACAGTTTTAAAACATAATCAGTAGGTCCCAATGTAAAATAAACTATATAAGTGCAAAATATTATTTAAATTCCAGTGTACATCCGTTAGGAACCAACAGCAATTAAAAAAAACCCTGACAATAGTAAGCCCCTTAAAAAGCTTTGCTTTAATTTGCCTTGAGCATGGGATCATGTCTGAAAGGCTTTAAGATTTTTATCATTCAATATCTTTTTACTGTTAAGCAATTTTTAATTGCATGGCATAAGTGTGAGTTTCATGCTCTATACAAAGAACATGCAAACTACAGTTTGGGTATGAAAATAAAGCTGGATGCCTTCTATGTCATATTATATCAGAAATATTTAATATATCTTCAGAACTACCTGTCTTAAGTGATGTAGAACTGCATATAAATAAGTAGTAGTGAAAGAGAAAGGAGGAAGATTCAGTTGTACTGAATCTTCAGCTGTCATGGTGCATCTGGACTAGTAGAAGCAAAACCACATGTATAAAACCCTCATCCAAAAAGAGAGTGAAGATGCACAGGAACAAGACTGATGTAAAAGGAAGGGTGCTGTTTTTGTCACCAGTTTTCATTGTAGAACCACATTTTGTGATTCAATGCACTTGTTTCAATTGACGCTTTTTTAAATTGACAAATACAGTTTAGCCTCACCTAAAAAAAATGTTTTCAATACTTGGCTTCTTTATATGTTCAGTAAAGCAGATTTGTAATTTTGCCACTGTAAATAGAGATTTTTTTGCGAGTAGCATGAACATGAAGTGTTTGAAAGAATCCTGGACTCAGCTCCATGGTTTCTGAAACATATTGCAAATACTTCTGTGTATTGTTGCTGTGAGCAATGTTAATGTCTTAAATCTGTTCAAAGCATTTTTTATCCCTGGTGCTGTCAATTGGCAAAACTTTTGATCTAAGTCTCCCCCTCTCACATTTTTATCTTTTTCAGCAGTTGTTCCTCAAGTCACATAGAAGGCTTTCCAGACCTTTTTATCCTTATTTTATCAGGGAAGAATTTGCCAGGTCTGAATACTTAGACTGATGGATATTACAGACACATTTTAGACTATGTATACATATATATTTAAGATGGCATATTCGTAGGTAGTAGTGATTATTGTGGAAAAACTTTCTGTCGTGCAGTCCATTTGTTTTGGTATTTATAGGGGGAAGTTTTCAAAGACATAGATGTTGAGCTTACGTTAGGCATATGCTGGCTTACATTAAAAAAGAATATTTAATTGAAAAGTTAGCTGAGGTACCAGTCAAAACTGATGTGAACCTCTGTCTGTCTCAGTGCTTCAGATGTATTGTTGCTGTGGTCCCAGAGCTCTTTTGAGAATTCTGGCAGATTCGGAGGAGAATATCCAGGCATGGTGCCAGACAAACATGCATTAGGAAAATTAAGTAAAGAGATCCAGATCAATAGCTGCACATGGCTTATGTAGAATGGGATTTTCCCTTAGCGTCAAGAGACAGACCATTTTTACAACATGGTTCTTTTGCTGCCTTCTTTTCTGGATACTCTATTCATACTACCTGCGGAAAGCTCAACCTTGCAAGAAACAGGCATCAGTCAAAAATGTTTTTTCTAATACTCATATTATGTTTCTTTTGAAGGTCACTGTAACAGGAATTGGGAGTACTGAGTTCGTTCTAGCTCTACAGCTGGCTTAATAACTGACCTTGGCAAGTTACTTAATGCCTCATTGAGCCAGTTTCTTTATCCCTTGATAGGGATTAGAAATAATGCATCATTTTGTAAAGTTCTTTGAAATATAAATTTGAAAAGCAGTAGGACTATTAGAAGTTATCCTTCGTTAAGAACATGGGCAGTTCTATGGATTTCTTTCTAGAGTAATAGTAATAAAAAATATTTCTCAAGCTTAAAAAAAAAAAAAAAAGCTCCCAATACTGCCTTAAAATTGAGGGGAATGTGAGGGTATATATTCCTTTTCTACTAGTACCACAGAACAGACTTCTGTAGACCAGGAGATTGTTAGCGTAACACTTCTTGGAACTGAATTCTGAGATGCATGCGTGAGTATGGGTCATAGGATCAGGTCTTTTATGGCCTGTTCTGAGGCAGCTTATAAAATGGGTCATAATTTGGCCTAAAGTATGCATGAGTTCCCACAGGCAGAAGGGAAGCCAAAAATCACTTCCCTCTTTGCTTTTATTATTTTAGCATAGTGTCATACAAAAGCTTAAGTCTGTAGTATGTACAGCCTGTTACAATGATACAGTCTTAAGTCTGTCCTATATATAGAAATATACAGATTTCTGAGGATATGTTTGAAATTCAAGGAAACAATGTTCTCTTCTTCAAAATGTTCTCTTCTCTCCTGTATTTTTTTGTATTTTCAACTATGAGAATTCTTTCAATCCAAAATAAATAATAATTTGAGAAGTCCATAGCCCCATGATACTGTCTTTGTTTTTCTTTAAATACAGGACTCTTTTCCAGGAAATAAAAGTTCTTTTAAAAACTCTAAATTTAGAGTTCACTTTGGATTTCACTAAATCGCTGGCTGTATGCATTGTTATTTTAGATCAGTGGTGTATAGAAATAGGTTGTATTAGGTCTACTCTCATTTAAATGCTGAGTGAAATATAATCAGCAGACAGTGTTAGATACTTAAGACATTGAGTATGAGTCAGGACACCTGGATTTATGCTCAGGTCAGCTGCTCTGCTCTAAACTAGATACTGCTTCTGCTGATTGTGTCCAAATGGATGACTAAGTGTACTTAATTCTGGAGCCCGATGTTTGAAATGGGTGTGCTAGTGGGCTTGCAGGGGGAGATTTCTGTGAGCTGGATTTGACCGTGCAACTCTACCAAACTCCACTTATATGCTAGCTTGAAATAAGTGGATATTTGCATTAAAATAACCAGCAGTGAAGTATTTGTGGTGTTAATAAAAGCGTGGGTCTGAGGCTTCAGCATTAGTACTCCCCTGACACTAATGAAAGTGTTTTTACATCAGTTATTGTTTCCAGCTGTCTGGAAGCTGCACCACTGGAAACAGTACTTTGACAATGTTCATTTGTATTGTGTTTTGAAGGTCACCCTTACTGCCATGTGGGCTAATAATTTCCCTATTTATTATGACATTGAAAATAAACCTGAGAACACATCATAGTTTTATACAGCAAAGTCGAACAGAAGGTGGCTCTCTGGCCCATATTTTTATTATTACATGTCCAAATTCTGTATATACAGTGCAAGCCTAAGTTAGACTTAGGTGTGACGATCCACAGTGTGGATTTATCAGAAGGACTTAAGTCAGGCAATGGCAGTCTTTCCAGGCAGCTATGCTAACCATATTATTCTTTCCAAATTAGAGAACGAGCATGCTGGTGGAACTGCAGCGAGATCTAGGGGATGTTGCCAATAAATTGCTGATCTTTCCTCTGTAGGAAGTATGAGCTCCAAGCATCTGCAGAGTTTCAAGCTCAATGAGGGAATTGTTGCCTTGAAACGGAGGTTTTCAGCTGCCGGCCCTGCTGCATGTCAAAACCTGCCTGTGTGCACTTCGATACCCTCATGTGGCTGTCCCAGTTCTCAGTCTCGTGTTCCGAAGGAGAGGCTCGTGAGCAGCTCCTTGTTCTGGTTATAACTACACAGTTATTTGTTATTCATGGAATTTTTAGCCCTTATAGTTTCTTAAAGGAGAAGCCAGAACTTCAGCGCTACCCCTACTGAAATTGTTTCAAGCAAAATTAATTGGGAAGCTAAGAAGGAACATGATTGTGTGGCCCAAAAGGTGAAGTGTTCTGCCCCTGTGGTGAAGGAGCCTGGTTTCTGGTCTTTATCCCTCACTGCTGTTTGGCTGTTAAGTTAAGGATAAAGTACAATTGCGGTTCCTGTGCCAGGGACTTCTCATAACTCCTGGCTCTTGCGTGAGTGCCTTTAACTGTTCACCTCTTTTCCTCTGTGCTGTCTCTAGTCTGCGAATCTAGCATTCCTGGCTGCACAGTGGCACAGCTTCAGGTAGGAGTTAAAAATTTCTCTCATTCAGAGAAGCTCAGGTGCTTCCCGGTGTGATAAGAGATTAGTTCTGAATTCCCTCAGCCTGAGGACAGCATAGGGTTCTGATTTCCGATTTCTTGGTAAATTCTTGAGACTGTGAAGTAAAAATGGCTCTCACCCCCAGTTGCATGTTGAAACATAAAGTTGTCTTTTGTTCTGTGAAAGAACAGACAGAGGTGCCTACCTTTCTGGCAGGATTTCCTGCATATGGATCCTCAGGTAGGGGTTAGGACCTACTTGGGTTCTGCATATGAAAACTAAAATCAGAAGAAATGCAACGTGAAAAATGACTGAGCTGAGCCTTTCTCCTCTGCACCTGTGGAACCAAGGCAGCTCCCTGCTCACCCCGTGAATTCTCTGGGGTACCCATTCTGTCTAGTTTTCTGGTTTTCTTCCTTTATTACATGGTGAGTGTCAGAGCTTGCTTTGAAACTATGGACTCTACCCTAGTGACATGGTGCCTGAAAGTTAGGCACTGCAATGCAGATTTCTAGGTATGCACGTCCTTGGACTTATCCCATAACTTCTCATTTGGATCTACATTTAAAAAATAAAGCACTCTTTATGGTATATGCATTGAAAAATAGCACACGGATCCATTTGACTAATATTTGCTAGATAGGCACCTTTGCCTTGGCTTATCATTCTGTTGGTAGGGGAAAAAAAGAAATACTGCCTACGTTCTGGCTGCCCTTTAGTTTAGAAATAAAGCACCTATTTGAGATGCATTTGTTTTTGTTTTCTTTTGTCATAGGATTAAAAAGATCAAATGCAAATGTGTCAGTGATTGTTAGTATTCTACGCATAGTACTCTCAAATCTCCATCTAGACCGGTCCTTTGTGGAGAATGTAAGCCATTAGGTAGACAGAGCAAACCACATTTTGGGACAGTTTCACAGTATCTTCCTGCAATAATAGCCTGTATATTTTTATATTTACCTTGCCTGTAAAAAATACAGGCACTGTTTTTGTTAGATGTGAGCTTGGAGTCTCAGGGAGATTGTCGCTGGGCATAGGCTATGTTCTTTCTAAACAAAAGTTTCTGTTTTACAGAACGCTGCAAATGTAAGCCTATAAAAGCTACCCAGAAGACCTATCTTCGGAACAATTATAACTACGGTAAGGACAGCTGCATGGCCAGATACCAAGCCTTTAAGGAGGAGATGAACGTTTTTAAGGCTACAGTAAGGGAATTAAATAGGTAGGGCTGGGAAAATTTTCACAAAAGTAGGCTATGGGCCAATTACTAATTGTTAATCCAGTAGTACTTATTACAGAAGGAAGACGTGGCCTGAAGCATTGTTTCCAAAGTCAAAACTGAGAGTGCTTGTAGAAGAATGAGTAAGGATTAGCCTAATATTTTAGTACAAGACTGCCTTTGTTGACATGGAGCGTCAACAAAGGCGTTCAGGATTCATGCACTTTTTTTAGTGAGAAAAGTGATTTGATAAAAATGACATTGTGGACTTCTGTGCTTAAATTTCCCCTTTGATGTACAGCTCAGATATGTTCTGCTAACAGAGGAAAGTATTTATTTTTTCTTTTTTTAAACTAATTTTCATGCTTGCAAGCTCACTGTGGGATCGTACTAGGTTCTTTCCTTCTCATGTTATCAAAGCCAGTAAAGAATATCTTGCAGGCTGTGTTAAGCTCTCAGTAATGCTTATGAGACTGCATGATGTTCATACTATGTCTATTATCCAGACTGCCCTACTCTTCAGACATATCACAGGTCCTATCTGCTGCTTTTATTCATACAGCTTGTCTTAAGCAGCCTAACCTGATGAAGTCAGTAAATATGTATCACTTACAGGAACTGAACAGTTAGGCCCTTGAGATTGGAACTTGTGGGACCCATTCTTGCTCCCCATTACTCATGTGAATAACCTTAGGTTTACTGAACTACCTTTAAAGACTTCATCTAAATGGTAGCGATTACTTAATATATATTAAGATTAACTTCCAGATAAGTTTCTTTTAAAAATAAATCCTGTTAGAAGCTAATAAGAATATAATTGTATTCAAACTTTTTTGGAGGTCACTAGTTGCTTTCATTTTGTTTTGATGGATTTATTTGGGAAATCTTTATGGAATGATTATTCTTTAGCGGATACTGCACCTGCATGTTGTAGAGAGTTACTGAGCATGCTACTGATGACTGTGCGGGAGTTGTTTCGGAGATGATTTCTAACCACTGGCTCTCTTTGTATTTTGTATCACATTGTTTCCCTCTTTTCTTTCTTTTGAAACTAAAGAGCTTTCGAAAGGCATTTGAAAGAGCTCCAAACTAAAGTAAGATTTTGTATTGAAGTCTTAAGGGGTTTTAAGAGAGTGGATCACTTTGGATCAATTGTGTATGTTAGATGCATAATGTTTGCCAATTGTTGGCAGCTGTATTTAAAGTGGCTGAAATATATGCTGGTTGAATGTCTTTATGGACAATGCATGAGAAGAGAGTTGTTGTCCGTGATTTTCTTTTCTTTTTCTTTTCCTTCCATATTATCTTTGTCACATAGGTTATAAGAAATTAGAAACCTGTGGAATTTTTTATCTGAATTGGGAAGGGATTCTGTCTGCAAGCCTTGAAAGATGTAGTATTCTCTAGAGTATGACCTCTGGATTTGCTTTGCGTTTGCATGTGGTATCAGTTCATTGATTGCTCTGAGAGACCTGAAAAACTGTTGCCTTTAAAAGGCAACTTTCCCTCCTGTGCAACTTAAGTCGAAAAGAAAGGATAAGGGAAGAAACAATTAGACAGGTCGTCAGGTCAAGATCAGGAGCATCTGGAGTTCATAAAGAACAGAACAGATTAGTGCTGGGTCACTGGAGAGAGAATAAAAAATGTAAGGGCCTGTCATCTAATAGGGATAGTGATACAATAAGTTTTTATGCATATTCACGTCTTATAAAAGGCTGAGAATGACAAATTAACTTTGGTCATCTGTACTGCAAGTAGTCAAAGAGCAGTTGTAGCATGAGTGAAAAGGAGGAAAGCATGCAAATAATGAACTAAATGTATAAAATGGAGCACCATCTTCATGGAGGATTAAATGAAGAGTTGGGGGTGGGAAAATTGCTGGAGTTCAGCTAAGCTTTTGATAAGTGAGCACACAAAAGACTAATCTATGAGGTTGCTAGGAATGGCTTGTGGGTAACCCGTATCGTTTGCTGCTGTTAACTATACTCTTTGTTACTTTTTCCCAGTCATTCGGGCTAAAGTGAAAGAGGTGAAGACTAAATGTCATGATGTTACTGCAGTAGTGGAAGTAAAGGAGATTCTGAAATCTTCTTTGGTGAACATCCCAAAGGACACTGTAAACCTTTACACAAACTCTGGTTGCCTATGTCCACCGCTCAGTGCCAACGAAGAATACATCATAATGGGCTATGAAGATGAGGAGCGTTCCAGGTAACTCTTTCTGCCTTATGCTTGAGGAATATTTGTTATTGATCTATTCTTCTCCCCATAGAACTATATTTCGGAGGCACCAGCCTCTGAAAACTTGGTGTGATTCTCTGTGCAACTCCTTAATCGTATTCAGCTGGACTGCTGAAAGGCAGAAGGCGCTCTCTGTAAGCACGGCGATCTTAGTTGTGTTTGTGTCGGTTTGTACAGCCTACGTATGCCTGCTACTGAAATAATGGATTGTCTCCAATGTGTAGGTTACTCTTGGTAGAAGGCTCCATAGCTGAGAAATGGAAGGATCGTCTAGGTAAAAAAGTAAAGGTAAGAAAATGTCTCACCAGAAGTCAAATGCTGCGAATATCATGAAACGTTTGCCCCACCTTTTGAAGAGAAAGGAAGAAATGCCTAGTTCATTAGTATCAATGATTAAATGTTAACCTGGCATGTTATTTATTATATTACTCAGAAATATATGCTGAAAAAAGTAAAGAGCTAAATGGAATTACCTCAAACTACACTGGTGTAATAGCAATCAAGACTTCAGTCTCAAAAATCAAACAGCAATGTGTTAGCTCTGTAATCAAACTGTGCTTTCTGCAGCATGTGCTTACTTCATTGAGATTGTGGTAATAATGAAGAAAACAAAGCGTTTTATCACTGTTGCCTAATATAAGACAAAATTATATTTTCAGATTTTAGTGTTCTTTAAATGCAGTTCTCTTACCAAATTGTGTGGGGTTAGTAACTATTTTAGATTTATCTTTCTGGCCTGGATGAGGGGCTATAGGATAAGGAAATCTCATTTTGAAGCAATGAGCTCAAACACAATATTTGAAAAATATATTCCGATGTATTTTAATGTCTTTCAAGTACTGGGAGGGCTGGCTGGCTGTTTAAACTAGACATTCACACAGTTCTGACCTGTTTAGGCATCTCTTTTTATGCATCTGATGCATAGCAGAACATCATTGATATCAGCATTGTAAGGAATGTCATTTTACAGAGAGCATTCTTGTTTTGAAACAATTTCTCAAGTGTTGATTTGACATAATGGGTTTGCCTGTGCAAACCAGTCTCTTCATTGAATATTTTCTTAAACAGCTTTAGTAGTGACTGGCAGAAAATACAGTTCTGATTAGAAATATAAGTTTTTCCATGTGTATTTGTCACAACCGCAGCGTTTGCATGAGTGAGAAGAAGTGGGGATCGTATTCCAAGTTTTTGTTCAATTTGGCATAACTTCCCCAAATCCAGTTATCGCTGTGGGCTAATTTCTCCCTAATTCCAGTTCTCTGGTGGCAGCAGAACTTATTTTTTCCTTCTTAGCAACTTACTTATTTTCTCACTTATTTCAGAGCTGGAGTTGCCTTCTACTGAGTATTGGTTTCAATTTAATTCAGTTGTTACTCTGTCAAGCATTGGCTTCCATATGCAGAGCGTTTTTATGGTAGCTCTAGAGACTCGTTCCACCTCAGCAGTGAAGAGGTCCATGTATATAAAAAGACTAAACCCTTTACTCCTACTGTATTTATTTATTTAATTTAAATCCTGTGACACTCGATACCTTTCTAGCTATCCTTTCAGTTCTTGTAGCCATTGGTATGTATCAGGTGTGGGTTGATCATAAAGTTCTTGCAGTAGAGACTAACTGCTATGTATTTCAAAAGGCATTTGTATCACTATATAAATGACTGCTGATACAATAGTGGTACTTTCATCAGGAGACTAGTGATCTAAATTAAAGTATAGGGCAAGAAGTTACTAATTAGGCATTTGTGACGTTGATGACTATTGATACTTTCAGACCATGTTCTCCTCGTGACGTGATGTTCACCACAAAAATGGCCAAATAGATATGTAGCACGTGAGTGGCATTTGAGGTTTTCAGAGAGGTGTACAAATATTAGTATGCCTTTCCAGTAGTTCCATGATGGTTGTCCACTGTCCTCATTTTAATTGGCAGCGTAGCTGACATTCTTAACAAAAATACAGTAGTCAAAGATATGAAAACTTTTCCTATCCACTTCCCGGATGAGCAGCCCTGCTCCAGCCCACTGGGAAGCCCTGTGCTGTTAGCTCTCTAGACACCATGAAGTTTCATTTCTTCAGAAATCCTTTCAGTTAAATATAGATTTAATTAAGTTCCTCTGCCTCTTGGCCCCCAACAGAGGGGTGGGTTTTTTGATAGGAGGAGAAATAATTGAAATGGGCTTTGTGCTGCTGTTCAGAAACCTAAGAGAAGGTTGTCCAAACTCAGAGCAGCTTCATGAGGGCACTGCTGTCCCCAGAGCTTTACTAGAATCTGAGTCCCAACACTGTCTTAAATTTAGTTTTACTGTTCCTTTGTGTTCTCATATCCTTCATGTATCCTGCTCTTTCCTTTCCACCATCCCATCCCACCCATCCGCCCCTAGCCTGCTGCCTCGTTGTGCCTTTTGTTTCATCTTGCAGGGCATATGACCTCAGGAGGTGCTATTAGGAACCGTACCATGGTGCTACTTGCTTCTCAGGGCAATCTTTTCGTTTGTATCAGCTGTATTTGTGCCAGTTTTTCGTACTGCTGTTGCTATTACTTGGAAAAGCATTTTCTGTACATCTTATTCCACAGTGGTTTTTGCAGTGCCTGCAAGGAATACCAGTTATAGAATAAACAAGCAATGAAGGGTTGAGTTCTGTCTGCTTCTTTTCATTTTCATGAGTCAAAATCCTTTTGAACTGTTTAACACCTTCAGAAAATTATACGTGCAACTGTGCAAAGTACTGTAGAGCCAGATCTTTGGAATATGCCTCACAGCCTGATTCTACAAGGTGCTGAGCTGCTGTCGTCTTCCAGTGGTTTCCCTTTTATCCTCAGCACCTCACTTGAAAAGATCAGTAACTTCTTGCAGAAATGGTGGCAGAACTGAGCACAACTTCAGTTAGTTTCGATACTGCTTGTATTACTGCCTATCTGCGATTACACCACAACACAAAGTACTGGCCAGCTCTGTTCCTTGACTCCTGTGACTGTTTTTTCATCCTGTTCCCCCTGCCCCCCAAGAATCAGCAGGTGGATCTAGTTACA